ATGCTCTCGACCAACAAGATGGCGATATTGCCTCCGTCGAGCACTGGAATCGGCAACATATTCATGAAGCCGATCGAGATCGACAAAAAGCCCATGAGGTAGATCAGGTCTTGGAATCCCCGCTGCGCCGCTTGGCCGGTCCAGACGGCGATTTCGATCGGACCGGAGAGCGCGCTTTTCGCGGCGATTTCGCGGGTGAGCAGCTTGCCCAGCACTTTGAGTGTTTTATCGATGATGTCGATATTGAAACGCACGCTCTCCGCTACCGCCTCGCCAAAGGGTAGAGGTCGATAAATGCCTAGGTTGACCCCGATTTTGCCGACACCTTCAACTTCTTTGGGTACTACACTCAGGGTCAGAGTCTCCTCACCTCGGAGCACCTCGACCTCGATCTCTTTACCGGCGTTGGACTCGATCTCATCGACAAACGACTGATCGGTGGTCACCAGCTTGCCGTTGACCCTAAGAACCGCGTCGCCCGGTTGAAAGCCCGCTTTGTGAGCGGGGTCTCCCCGAATAATTCCGGAAGTGCGCAACACCAGCTTGGGGGCGAAGCCGGCGTCGCCGATTCCGTGGCGCGGATCCGCCTTTGGAATTAACTCCACGGACGTTCGCTCGCCCGCGCGCTCAAGGTCGAGAAGCAACGGTCTGTCGGGTGAGGTGGACACGATAAAAGCCAAGTCGCCCCATTTATCCACGGACTCGCCGCCGGCCGCCAAAATGTGATCGCCTATTTGCAGACCCGCGAGCTCCGCCGCCGACCCTTCGACGATGTATCCCACCACCGGGTCAACGTCTTGCAAGCCCTGAACCCAAAAGCCTTGCATGAAGACAGCCGCAAAAATCCCCACCGAGAGCACCGCATTCATGGCTGGCCCGGCCAAATAAACCAAGATCCGCTGCCACCGCGGCTTGTTCATGAAGTCGCCCGGGTCGGCGGTCTTCTCGTCGGGATGCTCACCCGCCATGCGCACATAGCCGCCCAAAGGCAAGGCCGAAACCCGGTAGTCCGTACCGCCGTGCTCAAACCCCCAGATCCTTTTGCCGAAACCGAGGGAGAAGGTCACGACCCGGACCCCGAACATCTTGGCGACGAGATGATGCCCCAGCTCGTGAACGAAAACGATAACGCCCAACGCGAAGAGGAAGGCGGCGATAAAGGAGACAGTGTCGGTCAGCCAGATGGCGATATTAGTGAGCACCGTGATCATGGAAGAGGCTACCTTTGCTACTGAAGCGGCTGGACGCGGGAACGCCCGGGCGACGGGTTGGAGATTCTACCCTTTCGAGCCCCATGTGTCGCGGCCGGCGGGCCGTCGAAGGGCAATTTCATCGATGAATACGGCCTTGGACCCCAAAAGATCCCCCAACGGGCTCAGATCCGGCGGACGGCATCCTTCAACCAGACGGCATTGCGCACAAAACGCCGTCCAACACACGCTACTATTCCTCCATGTCTCGGCGATCCTCAGACTCGCGCTCGACCGACGAAAGACGGCAGGTCGACGCTTTGCTCA